GCAATCTTTCCCCCCCCCATCGCCCCACCCCCCGATCCCCTCCCCCTATCGCCCCCCCATCTCCCCCCTCCCCCGATCGCCCCCTCCCGTGCGGTCGCCCGCCACTGGGCCGGGCCCTGCCACCTGGCTGCCGCTCCCGGTCCTGTGGCTGCCATTGCCATCGGTGACCAAATTTTTTCCCAATTAATATTAATTCTCATGTACATTTTTTAAAAAACACACGCAGAGGTAGCAGTTGGCGCTCTCGACCGTGAAGAAGCGGACCGGAGCCATCCCCAGCACGAGTCTTGAGCTTCGGCTGCGAGGCTTTTCCCGTGTAAACCCGCGCTCCACGGTGGTGGGGTGACAATGGTGGTGACTGTGGCAGCCGAGCAGGCTCCAGACGCCCTTCCCGTCAACGGCCCGTTCCGAACCCGTGCCCCCCTCCCAATCCTACTCCCCTCCGCCCCCTACTGGACGTTTGTGAAAAAGAGCTTCATCGCTCATCGGATTCCTCCGGTAACCCCGCGACGCGTGCTGGGCTCCGCTGGCTCTGTAGACACGTGGCCGCGTGCCCGAGACGAGCGTGTGGGGAGTTTTCAGGGTCACCCGGCGCCCTCGAGTCTGTGTTTAAGTCAGCCCCCTGAGGAGTTTTTGCTATGCAACGTTTCGCCAGTGTCCGCTACCCCCAGGAGCAGTGCGAGGTGGCCCGAAGTTCTCTCAATCGCCTTAAAGGAGTCCAGAGGCGGCGCCGCTGCTGCTACTGCAGCAGCAGCGTCATCAACTTGAGTCGGGCTTTGGATTTCACTTCGCGTAGAGTAGGTGAATGTGTTTCTGTGTTGGTATTCGTCTAGTCTAGATCTACTTTGTGGCTTAAATTCGTAAGTCATTTGTCTTTGCTGATTGTTTCCGAGTGTGTGGGTGGGGTTGTGAGCTGGCATGGGGAGAGGAGGGGGGGGGATTGAGGAGCTGCCAGACGCCAGATTCTCTGTAACAAAATAAACCAGCAGAACCATTCGCCTCCTTCACAGATGTGTCCCTCCACGTGAAAACACGCGTAATCTTGTTATTGTTTCTTTTTTTGCACGCATCCCATCAGCCACGCGGCCTTCTGGGAGTGCACAACTTCAGTAGCAGTGGCTTCACACGAGCAAAACTCCGGACCGGTGTGGACACTCATCAGGGGCGCCACTGTGGCGAGGAGACGTTAACTACCTCGCCTGGTATACAGGAGGGTCGTTTCGATCCCGACCCTGACGCCTGTTGTATATTTTGAGTTTGCATGTTCTCCCCATGGTCGTGTGGAGTTTTCTACGGGTCGTCCGGAATCGACGTGCATTTTTTGGCTGATATAAATGTCCACGTGGTAAGCCACTTCGTTGAGCAATCATGCGTGGCCAGTTCGCTACTGATAGCTTCATAGCTCAGTGGGCCTTACCTGGCAAAATAAACAATAGTTCATAAGTAGTCACGCTTGCTCTTGAACCAACGCTGGCGAACTGCCCGATATCTACAAGCAAGGAGCCCACTCCGTCCTGACGTCAGGGGGTCCCTCTGTGGTTTGTAAACGAACCTCCCCGGCGTTGCTTCTCTGGAATGAAACCATTCTAATAAACGTCGCCGTGACTCGAAGTGCGTTGGGTTTGTGACACACCGTCGCGTGCGACATCGGTCATTTGCAGCGGCGGGTTGCGTTGACTCTGCCAAACTCTCGATTTCCATCGTCACGGGAGTCTTCGCAATCCGCGAAGCCGCCAAACGTCTTTCACAAAACATCGCCCACCGAGTCCGTGTTCGGCCGCACTGCCGGAAGCTCGCCGAGCTGTCGACATTTTCCCACTAAGGTTATCACTTCGCCCGCCGAGGTGCCTATCGCAGTGACAAGCTCGAGGATTTCGGCGCATACACCGGCGCAGCTGTATTCTGGTCCGCCACGTATCCGTCACACATTTCGGCCCAGCGGATTTCCAGACCGATATTATTTGTTTAAGCAAAACAACCTGGCGGAATATCCAACTCTCTGGGGGGGGGGGGCGGGGGGGGGTCTCAGCACGCCCAAGTTTCTCACATGCTGCTGGATTACTGGACGTCATTGGCGAGCGCACGCCGCCGAAGCAATAGGACCCTCCCTCATCAATGAGAAAAAAAAGGGACATTGTACACTCGTGGTGCTTTGTAAAACCATGTTCTTTCTGTATGCTCTGTAAAATCCCCACCGGTTGATCGACTAAAAATCCCTTCTCTTTAAGCAGAGCCACGCGCATCTCTGCTCGTGTGTTTGTGTTGACTGCGGTTCGTTGCTGTTGTTGATCGGCATGTTTTATAAATCGGTGGTAGCGAACGCGTTTACAGCAGCGACAACTTCGGGATGAGACGGACCTCTGGTGACGAACCCGTCGTGAACGTGGATGGCTACACGACGATTCGTAGCCGGGGTATGATTAAACGTCCTGCACGCCGACCCCGACCACTTGGCCAATCCATAACCCCGTGGTTGGTTCCAATTTGCTCCACGCCCCGAGTCGTACGAAATAAATATTGTTTATTTTACATCAGAGATTAAAAACTAAAAGTGTCGTCACAGCTGAGTCCAAAACGACGTCCCGTCTCCTTCACAGACCGACTAGTGTGTGTTTTAGGGAGGCAACTCGTCTGATTGTTTACGTGATATTTTCCACAATTGACGCTGAATTGTTGCTCGCTCGGTAGCTGTCTGCGAATTGGGTTAATCCGGCCAACACCCGTCTCTGGCGAGAAGCTCCGTGTCGCCTCGAGAGCTTCGCGTGGCCAGTTCCTGTGACTCTCCTCCAGCCTCCCGCGGAGTGGAACAGGGGTGGGGTGTGGTTAATGGGGTGTAGGGGGCGGCGGTGGTGGCGCTGCATCCAGCGCCTAAAGGGAAATGTGAAAAATCCGAGCTTCGGCCGCGGGACGCGTGCCAGACATTCCTCATCCGCCTCATCATCCTCGGGGAACAATAAAGCAGCGGACCCCTTTCAGCTGCTCGCAGCCCGCGTCGTTTGTGCGCTCACCGGTGGTGCCAGGGACCTCGCTCTGCTCGGTGCCGGCTTGCTGGTCACGGTGGCGAGACGTTAACTACCTCGCCTGGTTTATAAGAAGTCGTTGGTTCGACCCCGACCCTGACGCCTGTTGTATATTTGGAGTTTGCATGTTCTTCCCCGTGGTCACGTGGATTTTTTTCTGAGTCCTCCGGTTTTTCCCCTCCACATTTATAATCAACATCACGTGTTTATAAAGTGTTTGCCTACTATAACTTTCCACAAACCACTTCGTCAAGATATAATTTGTGATAGCCAGGTCGCTTCTCAAAAAGAGCTTTATAGCTCAGTTGGCCTTACCTGGTAAATAACAAACAAGTTTATAGTTTTATGGTCACCACTGCGGGTGGAACAGCATGTTGACCCCAACCTTTGCCGGGCCTGCCAGAGATTCCAGGCCAAACATCAACCCGGCCTCCCTGCGCTTTAACGCTCCTTCACGAGGTTTCTTCCACACTGCAGCGACAGGGTGGCGCAGTGGTAACACGTGTGTGTGCTTCGGAGCAAAACGGATCTGGGTTCGATTCCTCACTCGGGCGCCTTTATGCGTGAAGCTTTTCTGTCCCCCCTCTGTTCTGCATGGGTATCTTCCAGATTCAATCGGTTTCCTCTCATAGCTATTTTCAAGTTGATTGTATTGAACCACCCAGGTGAGTACTCAAGAGGCCAGGATGTGCGGAGTCTCTTTTGCAAGGGTGACCTGGCTCACAAAAAATGACAAAGACGAAACAAATTAAGGTTCGGATCAAGCCATTGAACGTAATGTTAATGTTGGTCAAATACCCCAATACACCCCACCCACCTGACAGCTAAACACATTTTATTTTACCAAGTAAATCCCACTGAGCTATGTAGCTATTTTTTTCAGAAGCGACCTGGCCACAAGTTATAGCTCAAAGAAGTGGCTGATGTGGAAATGTAGAGCAGCCAAATACTCTACACGCATGTTTCTAAATGTAGAGGGAAAACCGGAGGACCCAAAGAAAAATCCCGACCCCGGGGAGAGAGAGAGACATGCTAACTTCAAATATCCAGGTATCGCATGGCCGGGATCAAACCCACGCACTCCTGCATACCAAGCAAGGCAGATAACATCTCGCCACCGTAGCGCCCCAGCGAACGAGTCTGCGTACCTGGGGCGACTTGCCTGGGTCAATTTTTTTTATCAGCCGCACTTGTACAAATATTCGCACAGCTAGGCAGCATCTGCGGTTCGACCTGGCTTTGTTCCCCGGTGGATGGAGGGTCACGTGCTCCCACCGGACGGCGGTTAACTACCGCCCCCCGAGTAGGCGATCGTTCATGGATTCCAAATGATCACATCCCGTCAGCCACACGGTCGTTGAACACGAGCGCAACGCTGCAAGGAGCTCGCTCGGGTGGGACGCGAGGGGATCCGTGCCTCTTGAGCGGGACGATTTGGAGGCTCTCAACCACGTCGAGCAGCCCGATTCCACTTGCGACTCTGGCCTGGCTCCGTGTGGCTGTGTGAACACAACAGCACCCCCCCGTGCCGGCCATCCCCATTGAGCACGCGACAGTTGGATGTGACAGTTGGATGTGTCGGTTGAATATGGCAGTTGAGTGCAGCAGTTGAGTGCAGCAGTTGAGTGACGGTTGGATGTGTTAGTGGGATGTTAGTGGAATGTGACAGTTGAATGTGACGGTTGCATGTGTGAGTTGAACGTTACGGTGGAGTGTGACAGTTGAATGTGTCGAAACAGAACCGTGTTGCGCGAACGCCCCAAGACCGCAAGAGACGCATGGCGCGCGGAACCAAGTCGCGTGCTTGCAACCCGTCAGCAGCAACAATTGCTGCTGCAACCATGGGGAGGCTGGGGGAGGGAGGGAGGCGTTGCACTTCAAGAGGCAGTGGCGGCGGCTTTGCGAGGGGAGCGCCTCCTCCCGGCAATCTCCCCTCGCTCCTCCTCTTCGATCGTCGCCTCCCCCACCTCCTCTCTCTCTCTGTGACGATCTTCGCTCACTGCCTCTCACGTCTCCTCTCACCTCTCACGTCCCCTCTCTCACGTCTCACCTCTCTCCTCTCAACCCTGAACCTCTCTCGTCTCGCGACCCCATGGCGACGCCGCGCTCCGTGCTGGTGACGGGAGCGAACCGGGGTCTGGGGCTGGAGCTTGTGCGCCAGCTACTGCTGCTGCCGCCGCAGGGCACTGCGGACCCCGGCCCCCGTGTGCTCGCCACCTGCAGGGACCCCCACGGGCCCGGCGCGCAGGTGACGCCGTGGGCCCTGTGCCGTGACGGTGGTGGCAGTGGTAGTAGTGGCGGTGATAGTCGTGGCGGTGGTGATAGTGACGGTGGTGGTGGTAGTGGCAGTGGTGGTGATCGTAGGGGGGGGGGGGCGGGTGGTGTGGTGGTTAGCGCGCTGCGCTACGATACCTGTTCTGGCTCACATAACTTGCCCCAACAGTCTGTGAAAGCTGTACAGGGGATCTCTGTGAGGAGCGGTGGTGTAGCGGTTAGCGCTGCGCTGTGCTACGAACCTGGTGACCCTGGTTCGATTCCCGCTCATGGCAAACAACGGTGACAATTATCCGAACCGGTCCTGGGCCTCTCCTAGGTCGACTCAGCCTCAAATGAGTACCTGGTGCGGTGTGTAAACATCTCCACTGGAGAGACCGGCTAATCAGAAGTGCGGGGGAAGGACAAACTAAACCCAAAAAGTGTTGTAAAGAGTTTTTAATCTAGATAATGATTTAAAAGTGCATAGCCCCAGTGGCTTCCTAATATTGGAAGGAAGAGCTGTCCAGACGGCCGCAGAAGCCCATCTGAAAGTGCGCGATGTGACCGTCTTTGTTCAACTGATGTGTAGTGTGGTCGCGTGGTTGGTTGCCTGGTTGCGTGGTTGTGTGGTTGCGTGGTTACCTGGTTGCGTAGTTGCCTGGTTGTGTGATTGCCAGGTTGTGTGGTTGCCAGGTTGCGTGGTTGTGTGGTTACCTGGTTGCCTGGTTGCGTGATTGCCAGGTTGTGTGGTTCGTTGCGTGGTTGCCTAGTTGTGTGATTGTGTGGTTGTGTGGTTGCCTAGTTGCCTGGTTGTGTGATTGCCAGGTTGTGTGATTGCCAGGTTGCGTGGTTGTGTGGTTGTGTGGTTACGTGGTTGCCTGGTTGCGTAGTTGCCTGGTTGTGTGATTGCCAGGTTGTGTGGTTGGTTGCATGGTTACCTGGTTGCGTGGTTGTGTGGTTACATGGTTGCGTGGTTGTGTGGTTGCCTAGTTGCCTGGTTGTGTGGTTGTGTTGTTACCTGGTTGCGTGGTTGTGTGGTTGCCTGGTTGTGTGGTTGCGTGGTTACCTGGTTGCGTGGTTGTGTGGTTGCGTGGTTACCTGGTTGCGTAGTTGCCTGGTTGTGTGGTTGCGTGGTTACCTGGTTGAGTGGTTGCCTGGTTGCGTAGTTGCCTGGTTGTGTGGTTGCGTGGTTACCTGGTTGTGTGGTTACCTGGTTGCGTAGTTGCCTGGTTGTGTGGTTGCGTGGTTACCTGGTTACCTGGTTGTGTGGTTGTTTGATTACCAGGTTGTGTGGTTGCCTGGTTGCGTAGTTGCCTGGTTGCGTGATTGCCTGGTTGCGTGGTTACCTGGTTACCTGGTTGCGTGGTTGCCTGGTTGCGTGGTTGCGTGGTTACCTGGTTGCGTGGTTGTGTGGTTGCGTGGTTACCTGGTTGCGTGGTTGCCTGGTTGTGTGATTGCCTGGTTGTGTGGTTGCGTGGTTACCTGGTTGCGTAGTTGCCTGGTTGCGTGATTACCAGGTTGTGTGGTTGCGTGGTTAGCTGGTTGTGTGGTTGCGTGGTTACCTGGTTGCGTAGTTGCCTGGTTGCGTAGTTGCATGGTTGCGTGGTTGCCTGGTTGTGTGGTTGCGTGGTTGCACGTTGTTGGTGTTCTCGCTGCCTCTGGATGGGCCCTGCTCTCTGTCTCCGTGTCCCAGGCGCTGCGGGAGCTGGCGAGCGCTCACCCTCAGCTCACGGTGCTTCAGCTCGGTGAGGCGAGACGCCACAACTCCGTGTCTCGTCGGTGTTGTCTCTCACGCTGCAGTGACCGCATGTCTTCTTGGTGTCTCTCTCACTCCTCTGCGTGTCTCCTCAGTGTCCCCTCTCACTTCGAAGTGTCTGCGTGCCTGCTCTCACTCCTCAGCGTGTCCCCCACCGTGCAGGGGTAATGTTCTCGCCTGTCAACTCCTGAGTTGGATGCTCAACGTGGGCGACTTTCCGTGTGGAGTTCGCGTGTTCTCCCCCCCCCCCCCCCCCCATTCTGCGTGGGTTTCCTCTGCCTTCCCCGGTTTGTTCCCCCCCCCCCCCCCCCCCCACAGATAAAGATAACGCACATTGCAACTTCCATTGGCCAAACATCCCAATGCTAAAACAAAAATTACCAGCAGCAGCAGCATTGGCCGCTACTGCGTAACCCTTGGGCCAGGACCCTATTGAAATCGAGCCCTGAGACTCGGGAGAAGCTTTCCCCGGGGTTGAGCAAGCGCAGTGATAATGGTGACGACTTGCAGGCCCTGGGCGGTCACGTCCGGCGTGTTTGAACACCGCTCTTTTTTTATCAGAATTTTTATTTAGACTGGAGGAGGAATCCGATGAGCGATGAAGCTCTGTTTTTTTGCAGACGTCCAGTAGGGGCGGAGGGAGTGGGGGGGGAAGAGCGTCTGGAGCCTTCTTGTCTGCCACAGTCGCCCCTGGGCCTGAGACGCGTTGTCACCACCTTTGCCCGTGGGTTTACCCGGGAAAAGCCTCGCAGCTGAGGCTCAAGACTCGTGCTGAGGATGGCTCCTGCTAGCGTCTTCTTTCACAGATGTCCATGCGAGCGCAAGAAACGTCCCCCTCCCCGTCTCTCTCGTGCCCTTGGATGTCGTGAGACTGCGATATCAGTCGCGCCGTCGCGCCGCACTCGCAGTCGCGAGGCCGCCCGAACATGGCACGGGAATGTGGCCCAAAGAGGCCCCGGCGAGGCTCTGTGAGGTTCAAAGATGCTTGGCGAGCCGCGGCGAGGCTCGGCGAGCCGCGGCGAGCCCCATCCAGATCGGCGAGATTCAGCGAGGCTCAGCGAGCCCTGTCGAGATTCAGCGAGGCTCAGCGAGCCCTGTCGAGATTCAGCGAGGCTCAGCGAGCCCTGTCGAGATTCAGCGAGGCTCAGCGAGCCCTGTCGAGATTCAGCGAGGCTCAGCGAGCCCTGTCGAGATTCAGCGAGGCTCAGCGAGCCGCGGCGAGATTCAGCGAGGCTCAGCGAGCCCTGTCGAGATTCAGCGAGGCTGAGCGAGCCGCAGCGAGATTCAGCGAGCCCCGATGAGATTCAGCGAGGCTCAGCGAGCCCCAACGAGATTCAGCGAGCCCCGATGAGATTCAGCGAGGCTCAGCGAGCCCCAACGAGATTCAGCGAGGCTCAGCGAGCCCCAACGAGATTCAGTGAGGCTCAGCGAGCCCCGACGAGATTCAGCGAGGCTCAGCGAGCCCCGACGAGATTCAGTGAGGCTCAGCGAGCCCCGACGAGATTCAGCGAGGCTCAGCGAGCCCCAGCGAGATTCAGTGAGGCTCAGCGAGCCCCGACAAGATTCAGCGAGGCTCAGCGAGCCCTGTCGAGATTCAGCGAGGCTCAGCAATACCCGACGAGATTCAGCGAGGCTCAGCGAGCCCCAACGAGATTCAGCGAGGCTCAGCGAGCCCCAACGAGATTCAGTGAGGCTCAGCGAGCCCCGACGAGATTCAGCGAGGCTCAGCGAGCCCTACGAGATTCAGCGAGGCTCAGCAATCCCCGACGAGATTCAGCGAGGCTCAGCGAGCCCCGACGAGATTCAGCGAGGCTCAGCGAGCCCTATCGAGATTCAGCGAGGCTCAGCAATCCCCGACGAGATTCAGCGAGGCTCAGCAGTCCCTGACGAGATTCAGCGAGGCTCAGCGAGCCCTGTCGAGATTCAACGAGGCTCAGCGAGCCGCGGCGAGGCTCAGCAATCCCCGACGAGATTCGACGAGATTCAGTGAGACTCAGCGAGCCGCAGCGAGGCTCAGCGAGCCCTGGCGAGATTCAGTGCAAGACGCGGCCCGCGTCGTTCTACTCCCCATTACCTCTGGGAATCTCCGTGGGCCCCCCTCCCCCTGCCCAGGTGGCTCTGTCCACGAGTCCCCCGCGTGGCGATTCCTCAAGCGCTGCGAGTGAACCCTTTTGTGCCGCTGCATCGGCCGTGTTTCTGTCTCGTTCGTTCCACTCCTGATCGTAAGCTCGCCACAAACGGAGAGCGCTGTGCATTCGGAAGCCAAACTAGCAATCGCATCCAGAGAAGGGAGGGGGGAGGAGGCGGTGGCTCTTATCCGCAATGGTGTAGGAGGAGGGACTTTGCGGATTCTGTTATCCGCAGATAACGGCGCGGGTGGTGGGATGGATTTTTCGCGCCGAGACTCCCCCCCCCCCCCCCACCAGCTCATTATGAAATCGCGAGCACATCGCGTTAGGGGTAAAATTGTGGATAGTAGGGTCCTGCAGCTGAACGCGGATATTGGGAGTCGTTTAATAGGGTCGCGGATGAGAGGAGTTTCCCTCCAGTAGATATTTTTCCTGCATAATCCAATAGCTAAGCGGCAGCCCGTCTCCGTTACACGTCCTGCCTCTCTTGGTGTCCGTCTCTGTGTCACTGCGTCTCTTTGTCTCTGCGTCTTTGTGTCTCTGCGTCTGTGTCTCTGCGTTTCTGCGTCTGTGTTTCCGTGTCTCTGTGTCTTTGTGTCTCTGCGTCTTTGTGTCTCTGCGTCTTTGTGTCTCTGCGCCTGTGTCTCTGCGTTTCTGTGTTTCTGTGTCTCTGCGTCTTTGTGTCTCTGGATCTTTGTGTCTCTGCGTCTTTGTGTCTCTGCGTCTTTGTGTCTCTGCATCTGTGTCTCTGCGTCTTTGTGTCTGCGTCTTTGTCTCTGTGTCTTTGTGTCTCTGCGTCTCTGTCTCTGCGTCTCTGTCTCTGCGTTTCTGTCTTTCTGCGTCTGTGTTTCTGTGTCTCTGCCTCTGTGTCTCTGCGTTTCTGCGTCTGTGTTTCTGTGTCTCTGCGTCTGTGTCTCTGCGTCTCTGCATCTCTGTTTCTGCGTCTCTGCATCTCTGTTTCTGTGTCTCTGCGTTTCTGTGTCTCTGCGTTTCTGTGTTTCTGCGTCTGTGTTTCTGCGTCTGTGTTTCTGTGTCTCTGCGTCTGTGTCTCTGCGTCTTTGTGTCTCTGTGTCTGTGTCTCTGCGTTTCTGTGTCTCTGCGTTTCTGTGTTTCTGTGTCTCTGCGTCTGTGTCTCTGCATCTTTGTGTCTCTGCGTCTTTGTGTCTCTGCGTTTCTGTGTCTCTGCGTTTCTGTGTTTCTGTGTCTCTGCGTCTGTGTCTCTGCGTCTGTGTCTCTGCGTCTTTGTGTCTCTGCGTCTTTGTGTCTCTGCGTCTTTGTGTCTCTGCGTTTCTGTGTCTCTGCGTTTCTGTGTTTCTGTGCCTCTGCGTCTGTGTGTCTGCATCTTTGTGTCTCTGCGTCTTTGTGTCTCTGCGTCTTTGTGTCTCTGCGTCGCTGTCTCTGCGTCTCTGTCTCTGAGTTTCTGTGTCTCTGCGTCTGTGTCTCTGCGTCTTTGTGTCTCTGCGTCTGTGTCTCTGCGTCTGTGTTTCTGTGTCTCTGCGTCTGTCTCTGCGTCTCTGCATCTCTGTTTCTGTGTCTCTGCGTTTCTGTGTCTCTGCGTTTATGTGTTTCTGTGTCTGTGTTTCTTCGTCTGTGTTTCTGTGTCTCTGCGTCTGTGTCTCTGCGTTTCTGTGTCTCTGCGTCTGTATCTCTGCGTTTCTGTGTCTCTGCGTTTCTCTGTTTCTGCGTCTCTTGTATCTGCATCTCTGTTTCTGTGTCTCTGTTTTTCTGCATCTATGTATCCCTGCGTTTCTGTCTCTGCGTCTGTCTCTGCGTTTCTGCGTCTGTGTCTCTGTGTCTCTGTGTCTTTGTGTCTCTGCGTCTCTGTGTCTCTGTCTCTGCGTCTGTGTCTCTGCCTTTCTGTCTTTCTGCGGCTGTGTTTCTGTGTCTCTGCGTCTCTGTGTGTCAGCATCTCTGTTTCTGTGTCTTTGTTTTTCTGCATCTCTGCATCTATGTGTCTCTGTGTCTCCGCATCTGCATCTCTGCATCTCTCAATCTCTGTGTCACTGCGTCAGTCTTCCCTCTGTCCCCTGCAGCCTCTGTTCAGGACTCGCCGTGCACCGCCGCAGCCTGCTGTGCGATTCACCCTGCCCACGGCGACGCGAGTGACTGTTTGGTGCTCGTTGCGCGTTACAGAGTTGGCATTGAGCTATGGGATCCATGTCTAACCGAGAGAGTCCTTGCCTATACACATCTGGCGGTTCACCAGCATTGGTTCCAGCAAGCCCGATCGCTGACGAGACACCGAATGTTAAAACCGGTCTGGAGTTTGCTTGTATTTTGTGTGTGTGTACGTCAGAGTGTGTGTGTGTGTCACAGTGTGTGTATGTGTGGTGTTCGCCACCCATCCCCTCGTGTGGCTTTCTGGCCTTCATAGCTGCTCGCTAACAGAACTTGCCCCAACAGTCTGTGAAGGCTGTAAGGGGATCTTCGTGGGGAGCAGCAGTGTAGCGATTAGCGCTGCGCTGTGCTACGAACCTGGTGACCCGGGTTCGATTCCCGCTCACGGCAAACACCAGTTGCGATTATCCGGACCGGTCCTGGGCCTCCCCTAGGTCGATTCAGCCTCAAATGAGTATCTGGTGTGGTGTGTAAACATCGCCACGAGGGAGACAATGGCGGCCGGACGTGGTGTTCGCCATCCACTCCCTCGTATGCCTTGCCGGCCTTCATAGGTGCTTGCCAACAGCACTTTCCCCAACAGTCTGTCGGAGGCAATACGGAGGATATTTGTCTTGTGTGTGTCACAGTGTGTGTCACAGTGTGTGTCACAGTGTGTGTCACAGTGTGTGTCACAGTGTGTGTCACAGTGTGTGTCACAGTGTGTGTCACAGTGTGTGTCACAGTGTGTGTCACAGTGTGTGTCACAGTGTGTGTCACAGTGTGTGTCACAGTGTGTGTCACAGTGTGTGTCACAGTGTGTGTCACAGTGTGTGTCACAGTGTGTGTCACAGTGTGTGTCACAGTGTGTGTGTGTGTCACGGTGGGGAGTGATAGTGTAGCGGTTAGCGCGCTGCGCTATGAACCTGGCGACCCGGGTTCGATTCCCGCTCAAGGCCAACACCAGTGACGATTATCTGAACCGGTCCCGGGCCTCCCCTAGGTCGACTCAGCATCAAATGAGTACCTGGTGCGGTGTGTAAACATTGCCACTAGGGAGACAAAGGCGGTCGGGCGTGGCGCTGGCCACCCACCCCCTCGTGTACCGTTCCGGCCTTCATAGGTGCTCGCTAACAGCACTTGCCCCTACAGTCTGTTAAGGCTATATGGGGGATCTTTATCTTTGTCACAGTCTGTCGGTCACAGTGTGTGTGTCACAGTGTGCGTGTCACAGTGTATATGTGGACCGGAGTGGCCACCGTGAACAATTACGGCACAAACACGGAGGTGGGCGGTCGTGCAGATGCACAGGCGTCCCCTCTCATCCCCTCGTGCCTTCACCTCCGTGACCCCCTGCCCCTGGAGAGGTGACTTCGCAGGAGAGTGTGGCCGCTCTGGCGCTCGCCGTGGAGAAGACCTTGGCAGGGGAGGGGTTGAACGCGCTCATCAACAATGCGGGCGTGGCGCTGATGGCCCCGCTGGGAAGCGTCAAGGCCGAGGACATGACGCACAGCTACAACGTGAACGTGGTGGCGCCGCTCATGATCACGCAGGTGCGGCCGCGAGAACACTTCCCGTGCGATGGAGAGGACTGCAGAGCTTGGGCAATTGTTGGCTCCAGCTCGCGGCTTGTTTCCTCTTGACCTCTCTTCGAGTCGATTTTGCTCCACGTTAGTGGGCGAACGTTGCGCTCGTTACAAGCTGACATTGTTATTTTAAATATTGGTGGCGCCGATTCCGGGTGCCTTTTTCCCCGCTTTTCTCTGCGGTTTCCAGCACCTCCGTGCGGAACGGCTGTGCACGGCGTTGCGAATTCTCGAGCGGCGTTCTCGAGGCGTGCGCCGACGAAAGGCAATCGGAAACAAATCCATCGGCTAGGTCAGTCTTTGAGTAGAAGACTGAGGAACCACTCTACGATTGAGGTCCTTCAATTTGCCAAGAAATGTAGTTTGTCGACAGCCGGCCACGCTGCTGCCCGGGTGCCGTGCGCCGGCATCGCACGCCGGAGGAGGACAGGGTCTAGCTCGTCACGGGCGGCTTCCCAGCGTCGCACGGCTGCGGCCGTCGTCAGCCAGGGGCCCACGTTCACCCACCTCCACCCCACCCCCACCCGACTAGGCCCTGCTCCCACAGCTGCGCATCGCCGCCGAGAGGAACAAGGCCGAGCCGCTGGGCTGGGGTCGCGCCATCGTCGCCAACATCTCGTCCATGCTGGGCTCGCTGCACTTCGCTGCGTTGGCACCCACGGGCGAGTGGGGCTACTCCTACCCGGCCGCCAAGGTGCGCCGCACAACACCCACGAGCGCGGGGAGCGCTGGCGTAAGCGCTTAGTGCACCACGCTATGAATCCGGCCAGCCGAGTTCGATCCCCTCTCACGAATATTTGAACCGGTCCTGGACCTTAACCTCGGTCGACTCAAACGAGTACCTCGTGCGGTGTAAACATCGCCAGGAATGGAGACAAAGGCGGCGGGGCGTGGTGCCGGCCACCCACCGCTTCGTGTGATACTCACTAACGGCGCTTTCCTCCACAGTCTGAGGTTAAACTGGGGATCTTTGTATGTGCACAATGCTGCCGTGTACTGTGAACACTGTGCTCACGTGCATGCGCAGGTGTGTACCCTACACTGGGTGTTTGTTAGGGGCATGCGTTTGTGCAGCGTGGGTGCAGCGTGTGTGCAACGCGTTCACTTGCGCAGCGTCTGCACGCGCCCAAGCCGACTCTGCTCGTCTCCTCGACCGCCTCAGCTTGGCTCTGGCTCCCACCCCGTCTCTGCGCCGTAGCCGGGGGCACGACGCTGTGAGGTTGGGCTTGCTGCGTGATGCAGCGCCAGCGCGGAGTTTGATCCGCCTGTGGAATGCCGCCTCGGGAGAGCCGCTCCCTCACCACTCCCTCACACTGATGAATTACACTGTAACAATTTGTGTTTCCACTTAGGCAGCTGGAACTAAACTGAACTGGTGGGCTTAAGGCCCCTGTATTTATACTACTATTTATATTACTGGAAAGTTATAGAATGTTCTAGAAGTTACTCCAAGTTTACTCAGCACTGAATCGATGTGGAATGTTTTGGAAAATATGTAAATTTCAAAATATCACTGTCCTGGTCACAAAAGCAAAGTTTTGTGGAGAATAATAGCCATTTTCTAAACTTTTTAGGCATAAGCAATAACGAAATAATATTACCCAGGAACAAAATTTGTGTTACATAGTGTTATGTCATGCGGTAGAACGCAACAACGCCCGGTAACACATCTCGGTACACGTAAATTCCTGCCGCCACCTGAACACATGCCGATTCCCCAACTGCCCTGGTCAAATCTGGGTCAAACCCAGACAGGAGGTATTTGCCATCCCCACTGATCCAAACTGCTCACGAGGGACTGTATTTCTGAGATTCCTGACACCCGGTTCGTCCAGTTCTGGCATCTGAGCCCCACACTCCACGCCCTTCATTGCCTAAGCTTTGACACAAATCCTTGTTTGCTTGTCAGCCCTGCAGTCACCCTATTAAACCATTTACTAAACAATTTTTGCCAGCTGCTGTGTAGCTCCTTTTCGGAAGCGACCTGGCCACAATTGATAGCTCAACGAAGTAGCTTATCATCATGTGGAAATGTATAGCAGCCAAAATACTCTAAACGCGTGATTTTGTTTCTAAGTTTGGAGGGAAAAACCGGAGGACCCGGAGAGAAATTTTCACGCGACCACAGGGAGACACACAAATAATTATGCAGCAGGCGTCAGGGTCGGGATCGAACCCACGACCTCCTTCATACCAGGCGAGGTAGTTAACATCTCGCCACTGTGGCGCCCCGATATGTCTCCGTTCTGTGTTCCCCTGGCTTCGCTTAGCAATTCATCTGGAGGCGAATGTCGATTTACGCTGCAGGGAATGCAATATTTATCTCCGATTTAACGCTGGCGTTCGCAGCGCGATTTTCGACCCCTTGGTGTATTTTGGTTGCCACTGCTTTTGTGTTGTTGGTGACCCACGTCTCTGTGTTGCAAAGGAGACTCCTATCCTGGGTCTCTTGATTTGTCACCTGGCTACACGGAATCCACTTTAAACTGGAACTCACAACTCGAATGTAAGACGTCGACTGTCACCACATAATGTAAGTGGTGCTCACGTTTGCCAAATAAAATAATAGTAACCTATACCTTAAATAAATAACCGCCTGTCATATTGAAGTATCTCAAAGCGCTGGACATAAAAATAAAACTACTCACAAGTAGATATACAATCTGAGCGTACTCTAAAGCTGACAATAACAATCTCAATGACGAGTCTATGAATTCCAATAAATTGACAGTACTATCATAAAAGCAAATAATACTAATTGCAGAGTAATCCAATCAAACAGAATATTTTTTTTTTAATTCTTAAGTTACAGGGAAAGTCTGCAAGTACAAATCGGTGAGTTTTAAGATGGTGATTTAAAAAGTGAAACAGTCCTCGAATTCCGAATGGGCAAGACAACCGCTCGCTCGCCCGCTTGCTCCTCATCCTCCAGCGTGCACATAGCCGCGTCTCTCCCTCGACAACACCGACACGAAAACCGCTCGACATGGTCGCGGCGGAGACCACCCCGACGATGACGACGACGACAACGACAAACAACGCAAATGGGCCAGGCGCTACCCCTCCTGGCCAAGCGCCGTTTACCCGTCGGCCACAGCCATCTGGGAGAGTGCAGCAGCAGCGGTGGTGATTCAACGCAAACTCAGCTAGCCCTTGGGAGAGAGAGGTGGTGGCCCAAAGCCGTGCTGCGGTTGTGCCCCCCTCCTCACTCCCCGCCCCCTCCCCCACCATCCCCTACCCCCTCATTACCCCCCCCCCAGGCCGCTCTCAACATGGTGACGCGCTGCCTGCTGCGTGATCTGCAGACCTCGGGGGTGTTTGTGGTCAGCGTGAACCCGGGCTGGGTGAAGACGGACATGGGCGGCCCAGAGGTAGGGACCCTCGCAGGAGCTCGCTCCGGACGGCCGCAAACCTCGAAGCCCCGCGCCGGCGCCTTCGTGAACTCACGACGGTGGCTAGGAGATATATATTCTTGGTTCTTTCAGTAGTCACGTAGATAGAAAACAAGAATCTAAATTAAAAGCAAAAAACCCACGATGTTTCAATCGCAACACAAGCGGTCTTCTTCAGGTGGAGAGAAAAGAGGGGGCAAGCCTCCAAATGTAGCTGCTTATAAGGGCTCCAGAGTGAGTGGGCAGGGGAAAGAGCTGCGCAAGAGACAGGGGGAGAGAGGGTGTGGGGCAGAGATAGGGGCGGGGGAGGAGAGAGGGGTAGAGATGGGAGGAGGAGGGAATTGCACCTCGGCACACCCATCCACACTGCTGACGGTAGAGGTTGACAAGGAAACACAAATTCAAGTCATGACCCAAAGTGGTTGATGACATCTTTCCAATGATTGCTGAGTTTAAAACCGTCGTCTTGGTTGAAATTGTGTTTGTGTCTGTATATATGGATGGCTTCGTGAACAAATCTTTGTTGATAGCCAGTCGGCTTGCAAAGTACCATCGTCTTGAGCCAGCCGTATTAAAGTGTTGAGGCGTAAATGATGACTCGGAAGGAGATCTTCATGTAGGGGTTTGCACCAGTTGTTTTATTAAAGACCTTTCTTCACACACGACTCCGTGTACTGTACACGCACTGCCTACACTCCACACCCCAGGGGAAAGGTACTGGGGATTCCCTAGCACACCCGCAGGCTACCCCAGCCTGGTGCCAATTTCCCGCTCCCCCGGGGGAAGGGCACTGGGGAGGTCCCTAGCACACCCGCAGGCTACCCTAGCCTGGTGCCAATTTCCCCCTACCCCGGGGTCCCATCGCTCCCCCAGGGGAAGGGTACTGGGGAGGTCCCTAGCACACCCACAGGCTACCCTAGCCTGGTGCCAATTTCCCCCTACCCTGGGTCCCGACTTCCACCCTTCACGTTCCCGGACTCTCCAGACGACCCTGAACACGTGACGGGTTCCAGCTTAAATCCCCCAGGGGGACATGACGCCACCATCCCGCCCCCTGTGCATGACGTCACCATCCGTGACGTCATAGTACCAGAGGGCGAGCGTGACATGACATCACTAACTACTACTCTACATCACCCCCCCCCCCCCCTCCGAAAAGAAATCAGCCAACCCGGCTGCAACCATTACGAGAGCAGAGCCCGGCAACCTGAATGGAAAGACAACTACATGAAAAGAGTGCAAATGACATGTGTGTGAAGAGAACAGGACCGGCTGCTAGAACACAGCCCAACACTAGGGCAGCATGGTACAGGGCAACTTGGAGACGGTCCCCACACGGGACACCGGAACGTGTCCAACGAAGGCAGGGGATGAAGAAACGGCCCCACTGGCCATCACCATATCCGCACGCCCCGAGAGCGTGTGCGTGACGCCGGCCCGCTCTTCCGTGCCGCGTCGGCGTCAGAATCGGCGGTGTGCTGGCAGGTGTCCAGTCTGCCGGCCAATCCGCCAGGTGAGGCGTCGTTGGTGGAATTACTGGCGGGGCTTCTACAGGCGCACACAAAGGCATGGCATCGCTCGCGCCATCACAACTTGTGCGGCCCGGCTCGGCGGACACAACAGACACCCGGCCCCTGAGTAGTGGAGATGAGGGGATTCCGGCTGACGCGAGAGAAGAGAAGAAAAAAATAACACAAATTCAGACGCGTTGGATGCACAACCAACGTGGCGATGAACCCAAATACAATAGAACCTCGGAGATGGAATGCACCAGAACCCGAACAAATTGGTGTTGGAGCAAATCGGTGTTGGAATGGCCGTCTGGAACGAATTAAGTTTGATCTCCGGGGTACCACTATGTTCACCTTCACCCACACAAGACGGGTGGCAGGGTTCCCCGACCCCCAGCCACCGTTCCATCCACTAGGCGGTGATAGAGCGAAGAAGGAAGAACTGCCTAGCGCTCACTTACTGCACAACATGCACCCTAACAACGGAGGGATACAGTCTCAACGCAACCGGACAACAACGCCCGAACACCACGAATCACCAGCCCTCTGTTGCAACGCGCCTCGGAGTGTCTCGATCTCCAGGCTGGCAGGGCGAGCCTACAGCTCCAGACGCACCACGGAGGGTCTCAACCTCCGGGCCGCCAGACCAAGCCGTCAGCCGTAGCATGACGGGACCACACTCTCCAAGCCATGTGAGCGCCCAGCCCACTAGGCTAGACACGCCACGGAGTGTTCCAATCTCCGGGCGGCCAGGTCAAGCCGTCAGCCATAGCATGACGGGACCACAACTGACATGTCAGGCACGCAACCACCCCTGGACCATCCTGGTCAGGATCTGTGCCCCAAGAAATTTGACAGCCAGCACCACAATTCTAAACACTGGCAGCATGTCACCATCTCAATTTAAATGCTTCGTACCAATGACGGCAGAGCCACAAACCAAGGCAATCATCCCCCGCACAATCGCAATCTCACACCCTCATAACACATACAATTTGAACCTTGCATTTCAAAATCCCCCTCAACATTTACCATGGGACTCAGGCATTCCAATTTGAGGAGCAAAAAAATTAATACACAAAACGCCCAATAATCGCCGAATGGAGTAATACAGTCTATGCAGTCTGCATACAGCCAACCATCTCGAGCAATGCTCCATACAGTCTATACACTGTTAACAATCACAGCACAGCTATACATTAACAATGATGAACAGTTTTCCACAGTCACACGTTGATAACACTCACAAGTGAAGCTCCATAATGTATACCCAAAACAATCGCGACTCCGCAACGGCAACCAACCAAGTGTCAACAAATCATTAACTCGGTAATCCACTGGATCTTAACGGAGCCCGAGACCCCCCCCCCCCCCAACCTAGCCGAATTAATCATTAACTGGCTCCTTAAGATAACAATCCCGACGCCGTAATGAACCAATAATGTAACACGCGGACATCCGACACGAACGCCACGGACAGACGCAAGTTATTAAGAGCAATTGAACGCCCCGCATCCCGGTGAGAAACCAATAATAAAATAACATGAACTCACAACCCGGCGCACGCAAGATGGATGAGGTGTCAACAAGGGCGGGTGTGTGTCGCGTCACGCCTCGCCTGACAAGCTGTGACGAGCGGAGGACGTCAGGGTGGAGCGCTGGGATGCCCCAAAGAATCTTGCCTGCCAACCACGGACTCCTCTTGCGACTGCAGCCACCACCCGCGCTCGAGCAGAAGTCGGGGCGCTACTCGAACATGTGGAGCTCAGCCTCTACAGGTGTTAACTTCGGCGGGAACGGCATTTTGGCGGGAACAGCGCTCCCGCCATCTGCCGAAATGGCGGGAACGTCGTTTTGGCGGGAACAGCGTCCCGGCCAGCCGCCAAAATGGCGGCCCCACCACGGCCCCCGCATGCCCTCCGGGCCTCCTCCGCCAGCCCCCCGCAGCGACGACGGCGTCCTCTCCTCGCGGCTCCTTCCCGCGCCACAGCCGCTTCAGCAGCAGGCTGCGCACCACGTGGCACCTCCAAAATGGCCACTCCCGACCGCTTCTCCGCCGCGATGGCCAAGATGGCAGCGGCCTGCCACGTGGTCACTGGAGGACTTGTACCAGAGGGCGAGCGTGACATGACGTCACTAGCTACTACTCTACAAATGTAATTTTTGTAATGATCAGCTACGGCAGAAGTATTCGTCCTGCCATGTTTCAGATCTGCCTTGTGTTCACGAATACGGTCTGAGACATGTAGTTTAGTTTCCCCAATGTAATTGCTGCCGCAGGTACAGCTTAGTTTGTAGACGCCGGGATATTGCATGTCAGGTGGGATCAGGTCACGAATTTTGTGCACTGTGTTAAATCGGACCTGCATCTTGTGTTTGTTCAATATTTTGTAAATCTTTTTGGTTATCCCTGCTATGTAAGGTAAGGTGACGGTTTTGTTTGAATCTTCAGATGGCTCCTTCCTCACGGTTGGATTGATGGCTTTGCGGATTGTGTAGTCTGAATATCCATTCGCCTTGAGAGCCTGGTGTACGTGTTTGAGTTCACTGGCCAGGTGTTCATGGTTAGAGATACATTGAGCTCTATGGTGTAGCGTTTTGATGAGGGAATTCTTCTGGGATGGATGGTGGTGGGAATCAGGTTTTAGGTAGGTGTCAGTATGGGTTACTTTCCTGTATTCTTTGTTTTTTTTCGGTAAAGTCACGTAGAAATAATAAAATAACATAATAGTGTACGTTTCGATTGCAACACAAGCAATCATCATCAGGTACAGAAGAGCTAAATTTACGAGAGAGAGGAGACACATAACCACAGATATATATATACAGACACAGATACAACAGGGGATACAGAGAGAGAGAGAGAGAAACGTGGGAGCACACGAAAACAAACAGGTTTTAGCAAGATTTGGAAACCATATAACGCAACACAGACGGTCGGTCAAAACACAATTAACGCAAGTTCAGGTTGATTACGTTATTTCAAAGATTGCTAAATTGTAAGTGTGAAATTTAAAATCTAAAAATATAACGTAATCAACCTGACCTTGCGTTGTGTTTTGATTGACCGTCTGTGTTGCGTTATATGGTTTCCAAATCTTGCTAAAACCTGTTTGATTTGGTGTGCTCCCACGTTTCTCTCTCTGTATCCCCCGTTGTATCTGTCTGTATATATATCTGCGGTTATGCGTCTCCTCTCTCTCGTAAATTTAGCTCTTCTGTACCTGATGATGATTGCTTGTGTTGCAATCGAAACGTCGTACACTATTATGTTATTTGATTATTTCTACGTGACTTTACCGAAACAAACCACGTAATAATTCCTGCAGTCACGAAAGCTCCAAATTCAAGTTACTTTCCTGTAGACAGTGGCTCATTGAGCCATCTGGTCTCTTTTTGATTAAGACATCTAAGAAAGGTAGCATGCTACCCTTTTCTACCTCCATGGTGAATTTGATTGCTGGGTGTATGGAATTGATGTGGTTGAGAAAATTGTTCCAGAGCCGGTCGTCCATGTGGCCAGATGACACGTGTCATCCACGTACCTCTTCCAAAAGAGGTACGTGGATGCCTGGATGGCGTCCATCTCAAATTTTTCCATGAAAATGTTGGCCACAACCGGAGATAAGGGAGAACCCATTTGGGTGCCCTCAGTTTGTTTGTAGAATGTTCCATTCCAAGTGAAGTACACTGAAGGAAAAAAGTATTTGATCCCCTGCTGATTTTGTACGTTTGCCCACTGACAAAGAAATGATCAGTCTATAATTTTCATGGTAGTTTATTTGAACAGTGAGAGACAGAATATCAACAACAAAATCCAGAAAAACGCATGTCAAAAATGTTATAAATTGATTTGCATTTTAATGAGGGAAATAAGTATTTGACCCCCTCTCAATCAGAAAGATTTCTGGCTCCCAGGTGTCTTTTATACAGGTAACGAGCTGAGATTAGGAGCACACTCTTAAAGGGAGTGCTCCTAATCTCAGCTTGTTACCTGTATAAAAGACGCCTGTCCACAGAATCAATCAGATTGCAAACTCTCCACCATGGCCAAGGCCAAAGAGCTCTCCAAGGAACTCAGGGACAAGATCGTAGACCTCCACAAGGCTGGAATGGGCTACACGACCATTTGCAAGCAGCATGGTGAGAAGGTGATAACAGTTGGTGTGATTATTCGCAAATGGAACAAAAACGCAAAAGAACCGTCAATCTCCCTCGGCCTGGGGCTCCATGCAAGATCTTACCTCGTGGAGTTGCAATGATCATGAGAACGGTGAGGAATCAGCCCAGAACTACACGGGAGGATCTTGTCAATGATCTCAAGGCAGCTGGGACCATCGTCACCAAGAAAACAATTGGTAACACACTACGCCGTGTCGGACTGAAATCCTGCAGCGCCCGCATGGTCTCCCTGCTCAAGAAAGCACGTAAACATGCCCGTCTGAAGTTGGCCAATGAACATCTGAATGATTCAAAGAACAACTGGGTGAAAGTGTTGTGGTCAGATGAGACCAAAATGGAGCTCTTTGGCATCAACTCAACTCGCCGTGTTTGGAGGAGTGATGCTGCCTATGACCCCAAGAACACCATCCCCACCGTCAAACATGGAGGTGGAAACATTATGCTTTGGGGGTGTTTTTCTGCTAAGGGGACAGGACAACTTCACCGCATCAAAGGGGCGATGGACGGGGCCATGTACCGTCAAATCTTGGGTGAGAACCTCCTTTCCTCAGTCAGGGCATTGAAAAAATGGGTCGTGGATGGGTATTCCAGCATGACAATGACCCAAAACACACGGCCAAGGAAACAAAGGAGTGGCTCAAGAAGAAGCACATTAAGGTCCTGGAGTGGCCTAGCCAGTCTCCAGACCTTAATCCCATAAAAAAATCTGTGGAGGGAGCTGAAGGTTCGAGTTACCAAACGTCAGCCTCGAAACCTTAATGACTTGGAGAAGATCCGCAAAGAGGAGTGGGATAAAATCTCTCCTGAGATGTGTGCAAACCTGGTGACCAACCACAAGAAACGTCTGACCTCTGTGATTGCCAACAACGGTTTTGCCACCAAGTACTAAGTCATGTTTTGCAGAGGGGTCAAATACTTTTTTCCCTCATTAAAATGCAAATCAATTTATAACATTTTCGACATGCGTTTTTCTGGATTTTGTTGTTATTCTGTCTCGCACTGTTCAAATAAACCTACCATTAAAATTATAGACTGATCATTTCTTTGTCAGTGGGCAAACGTACAAAATCAGCAGGGGATCAAATACTTTTTTTCCCACACTATGTATTGGTGAGGCAGTGTCTCACCAGGGCTGGTACATCAGCATTCAGTCCTTGTTGGGCCAAATCTTCAATTATTGCAATGGTATCGGGCACAGGAACTTTGAACAGAGAAACTACATCGAAGCTAACGAGAAAATCACCTGGGACAGTGAGATGTCTTTAATTTACGATACCAAGTGAGCTGAGTTAAGAACAGAAGAGGTGGCCTTACCAGTGCATGGCTGCAAGGTCTCAGACGATGGGACGAAAGGGTGTACCTTTATGGATTTTTGGTAAGCCTTACAGTCTGGGTGGTCTAGCAGCAGAGGTTTTAGGGAAAACCGTTTGGTCTGTTCAATTAATGAAGTTGAATCAGTGATAATAACTGTTCGTTTTTGTAACGAGGCAGTTGGTATGATCTCTTTTAATCTTTGCGTAGCTACCATCATTAAGTAGGTCCTGAATTTTGTTCTTGTACACGTTTTTGTCCATGATGACCGTGCCAATTCCCTTGTCGGCTAAGAGAATGACGATATCTTCCCTCTTTTTTAATGTAAATAACTCAAAGCGCTCCTCCTTACTGATGTTGCTGACTGGTCTCTGCCCCATTGCTCCCCCCCCCCCCCCCCCCCCATTTTCTGATGGGTGTACCGAGGTGCAATTCATCCCTCCTCCCATCTCTACCCCTCTCTCCTCCCCCCCTATCTCTGCCCCACCCCTCTTTCTCCCCGTCTCTCGGGCAGCCCTTTCCCCCGCCCACTCACTCTGGAGCACTTTAATTTGTTGATCCCCATTCCTTGCCCCCCGATTGTCTGATGGGTGTACCGAGGTGCAATTCCCTCCTCCTAACTCTGCCCCACCCCCCCTCTCTTCCCCTGTCTCTTGCGCAGCTCTTTCCCCCTCACTCACTCTGGAGCCCTTATAAGCAGCTACATTTGGATGCTTGCCCCCTCTTTTTTCTCCACCTGAAAAGACCGCTTGTGTTGCGATCGAAACGTTGTGGGTTTTTTGCTTTTAATTTAGATTTTTTTTTTCTATCTATGTAACTTTACCGAAAGAACCAAGAATATGTATTGCTGCAGTCACGAAAGTTTTATGGCTAGGAGATGTTAACTACCTCACCTGGTATGCACGAGGTCGTGGGTTCTATCCCGACCCCGACGCCTGCTGTGTATTTGGAGTTTGCGTGTCTTTATCTCTGTGGTCGTGTGGATTTTTCACCGTGTCCTCCGTTTTTTCCCCTCCACATCACGACTCGACATGCGTTTAGCGAATTTGGCTGATATACATTTCCACGTGATGATAAGCCGCCACTTCGTTGAGCTATGATTTGTGGCCTGTATAACTCAGTGGGCCTGACAAAAGTTGTTTTAGTTTAAGCTTGAAGAACTCGATGGTCGCTGCCGCACAATGTAACTGCTGTTGGCCAAACATCCCAATGATGTAAAAAAGTTACCTGCAAATTAGTCAATTGGGATTACAACACAGCGGCAGCAACATTGCCGCCACCCCATCCTGCGAAAATTCGGCAGGAGCCTCTAGAAAAAGAGTATCAAGACTCGGTGAGGCATTCCTGGGAAACAAGGATAATGATAAATCATAAAAATTCAAAATAAACTTTTTTTTTTTATTTTACCAGGTAAGGCCCCACTGAGCTGCTATGTGGCTCTTTTTCAGAAGCGACCCCCGGCTATCGCAAAGGAGAGCTCGACGAAGCGGCTTATCATCATCACGTGGACATTTATAGCAACCAATACTGTAAACGCGTGATGTTGCTTCTAAATGTGGAGGAATATAAACGGAGGACCCGGAGAAAAATCCACGCAACCACGGGGAGGGAAAGAGAGACACGTAAACTCTAAATACAGATACAGCAGGCATCAGGGTCGGGATCGAAGCAACGACCTCCTGCATACCAGGCGAGGTAGTGAACATTTCGCCACCGTGACGATAATACTAATAATTGGTTGTATGTATTTGGACACCTCCAGCCCCACTCCCGCACGGTCCATGCCCCTGCGTCGGCCTCGGATTTTTCCCACAACCACATAGACGAGCAGAGGCGCCCATCCTGCCCTGCTCCTGACTCGTGCACCCCCGTGGGTTCTATACGGAGTTGTCCATCATCGGTCTTGGCCACGGCCAAATCCTCTCCGACAAATAATTCCACAGCGGGCCGACTCACATTCACTGTGCGTCATCCGATCCACAACGTGGCAGATGGACAATCAGACAGACGGACGGATGGATGGAATGGAGAGGCAACACAGATGGATGGATTCACAGGATTGCAGGCAGACGGGTGGACAGGCAGGCAGACGAGCAGACAGTCATGCAGGCAGGCAGATGGATGAATGAACAGGCTTGTAGGCAGACAGACGGGTGGACAGGCAGACACACAAGCAGACAGTCGGGCAGACAGACGAGCAGACGGACGGACAGATGGATGGACAGGCTTACAGGCAGACAGACGAGCAGACAGATGGGCAGGCAGACAGACGGATGGACAGGCTGAAAGACAGTCTGACAGACGAACGAGCAGGCAGACAGCTCCCGGCCGGGTGTAAAGACGCCGGGCGGGGATGCGCATTGTGCGGGGAGGAGTTGGCGACGAGGAACGCTGCGTTTGTCGTGCAGGCCCCGCTGACGGCGCAGGAGAGCGTCGCGGGGATGCTGCGCGTCCTCGCCACCCTCACGCCGGAGGAGAATGGAGGATTCTACGACCACGAGCACAAACCCGTGGCCTGGTGAAGCCGCCCCCCCTCCCCCGGGGCCCCCTGCGGCCCACCACCGGGGCTGATGGAGCAGGGCGGTGTGCGCCGGTGGGGGACGCTGGTGAAAAACACCGGCAAAATTAACGGGCAAACGCTGGGTTTGTCGGCGGTGTGCCGCGTTTAACATACATTTTAAATGCGTTACCATTACGTTAGGCTGTCTGTAATGCATACGAAAGGCGCAGTGATAAATAATGTAGCCTATATGTAATGCGTGTATTACAAGCAACGGAGTATTACGCAACACACTGTGTGCATTCTGGCAACTTAAAAAAAAAACACTTTAAATCATGGTGGCGGTAGAAACGCGGCTAGGCTGTGCCGAAACCCGCAATAAATGTGAACCTTGTCAACCTGTGGAGTGGGATTGCAGTGATTGGTGGGTCTCCAATGAGGTTGAATCCAGGACACCATTGTGATGAAATTTGTGCGCAGTTATCGTGTTCCCACCGCGTACAGAACAAGGTTACCTCAGTCGGCCACGGGTGGGGGGGGGTACTGAGGGGTGACTGGCGCGATGGTGGCGAGGTGTTAACTCTCTTGCCTGGTATACAGGAGGCCGTGGGTTCGATCCTGACCCTGACGCCTGCTGTACATTTGGAGTTTGTGTGTCTCTCCCTGTGCTCGCGTGGATTTTTGTACAGTTTTCCCCTTCACATTTAGAATCAATGTCACATGTTTCGAGTATTTAGCTGCTATAAATTCCCACGTGATAAGCCACTTCGTTGAGCTATCATTTGTGGCCAGGTCGCTTCTGAAAAAGAGCTGTATAGCTCAGTGAGCCTTACCTGGTAAAATAAAACAGTGAATAGTTTCCTTATCATCATGTGGACATTTATAGCAGCAGCCAAATACTCTAAACGCGTGACGTTGATTCTAAATGTGGAAGGAAAAACCGGAAGACCTGGAGAAAAATCCACGTGATTACGGGGAGAGACATGGAAACTCCAAATATAGAGCAGGTGTCAGGGTTGGGATCGAACCCACGACCTCCGGAATACGAGGCGAGGTACTTAACATCTCACCACCGTGGCTAAATTATTTTCGGCTCGGGGTGTGGTGGGTGAGGAGGGTGGACACCGGACCAACATCCTCTTTTAATCTCGTACAGCATAAAAAACCCAGCATGAACAACAGGAATCAAGAACACCGTGAGATGATAGTTTAACAGATGGGCTATTGGCACATCCGATTAGCACGGTTGGCTACGTTCGGTGCGCGAGAGACATTCAACACGCGTATGTACATCTACTCGAGACACCGCAATCAACACTCGGGTTTTGCACCCTCCACTGCTCTTGCTGCAAGTCTGCACTGAAGCGCAGCGGCACAACTTCCTTGGAGCTTCACTTTTTGGAGTGCCGTCTCGCTAACTTGAGACGTCTCGGGCGTCCAGAAGACCTGGAGGAGAAGGCCAGTGGCTCTCTCCCCATCAACTGTCCCGATCCTCTCGCACGGCCCGATAGCAGCGCCTGACGACGCTCTCAGCAGAGTCACCACCTCACCCACTGGCTCTGCAGCCCATCGTTGACTCCTGCGCCGCATAGCACGGGCCTATCTGTGGGCTCATATCAATATAGATTCATCCTTGAAGAATGGACCTCGTTTCTCCCCCACACGGCCGCTCAGTCTCCCTTGAAATGTCCTCTCTCCTTAATACCAGTTACACAATATGGGCCATACCATTTTCATGCCCTTCGCGAGGGGTGTTTATTTTCCAGTAAAAACCATGGCTACTCTATACGAGGGGTGCATTATGGGTCAATCCATTCCCTTGTTTTACACTGATATGGATATATTTACAGTAACTCATACTAAATCCCATATTGCCACATCCATCTGCAATCACTCTTCTTCCACGCAATCTCACCTGCGGGAATTCCCATCGAGTACGAGTGGTCGACTCTCTCTCATGCTCACCCCTCGGGCGAGTAAGAGTGGTTGACCCGGCCAGGCAGCTGTGCTGCGTTCAAAGTCACGCCGTCTTTGGGTGGCGACTGGCGTCCGTTTTCTGATTCGTCAGCGAGATCACGTGGCGTCCGATTGGCCGCGTCAGCACGAGGACCGGGGCTCCCGCTCGGCGGTGGCGACGTCTTCTCGGCGATCGTCTGGATGGGGCGGACGGCAGAGCCGACGGTTTAAATAGTTGCCCAAGACCCACGTCCTCGGCCTATCAACGTCTAAGCAGTTCACCGGCATCGCTTCGAGCAATCCTAGCCACCGAAGCGGCGACAGCGAATGTCAAAACCGGCCTAGGATCTGAGTTGAGGCGCCGCCGCTGCCGAAATTGTGTACTCCCAGAAGGCCACGTGGCTGATGGGATGTGTAAAACATACTTTTACTTTTTCGTGTGGAGTGAAAGACATGGCCGGTGGGGGGGGGGGGGGGGTCAAGTGCCTGCTGAGACAAAATGGGCGTTTGTGTAGCCACTGGTGGCTGGCCAGGGTATGGTGACCGGCAGACTCTGCCCATTGGTGTAGCACAGCGGCGCCTCCCTTCACTACAAAAACGGCGCAAGCGCCGGATGACAATTACAATCCTGGTTACTATGCTGAAGCGCACCTAGCCTGGCACGGGCCGGTTGTTGTTGTCATCGCCACATTTGCTCGGCGTTCCGCTGAGCAAAGTCGACGTTCAAACAATGCGAGTTCAACCCCCGATGAAGCCTTGGGAAGCTAAATGGAGTTCGAAAGAACTCGCAGACAAACACCGCCTGGCCGTGAAAGACCCAACGCAGAAGTCTCTCCGTGGATTTGATCTTCCGTGAAGCTACTCAGCTCATGGTCCATCCTAAATCGCATCCGCTGCACAAACCCTGGCAGATGCAGATACCCGATGCACAAATCGAACGTTAAGAACTCTCCAGTGGTAGTGGTGAGACTGTGGTCATCCAGAACAGAGACCGTACGACGTATAACAACAACGCAATACCCCGAGATCCACAAATACGAAGAAGGAGACATTGCAGAGATGATGATGATGATGATGCTACACGACTCCGCTACTGCTACTCCTGACGCTGCGGTTATCTGGGCTTGACCACCTCCAGGTGAGGTTGTAGTTGTGTTGCTCTGCATCTACATCAGCAGCCATACGGAAGAAGATTGCCCATAGACTAACATTGCCCATAGACTACCATTGCCCATAGTCTTACACTGCCCATTGTCTTACGTTGCCCATACACTAACATTGCCCATAGGTGCATGCAAGGCAGCGGTACCGTGAGGGAGGAGGCGTCGCAGTCGGCCCGGCGTGTGCGCGGCTGCCAGTGGCACACGAGGCTGTCGTTGTGCACGCTGTAGTCACGGTGGCCAAGCAGCCAGTAGGTCTTCATGATGCCCTTGCCCTGCGCACGCCATGCCACACCGCACCGCACACGCCACACACCGCACGTCTTGCACACACCTCGTTCAGCAGCCACACGCCGCATTTACCGGCCACACACCGCACGAGCCACACACCGCACGTCTCACACACCGCGATCACCAGCCACAAGCGCGGTGCGCCCCCGGCTCATCCAACAAGGTGGGTACGAAAAACGTTGGTGCATTTTGGCATCTGCGCCATTCTTCTAATGCACAGTGGCTCTCGCCAAGCCGCTGTGTTTCACAGACGGGTGCAGTGTGCCAGTAGAGGGGAGCCGTGCTTGCTGTGTGTGCTATCCCGGGATCCTTTTTCTAAAACTGGCAATGTGGATGGACCGCGACATTGGCACACGGTGGCCTACTACTTGTTTGGTGCCACGGTGGCTAGGAAAAGTTAACTCCCTCACCTGGTATGCATGAGGTCGTGGTTTCGATCCCGACCCTGACACCTGCTGCATATATATTCTCTCCTTGTGGTCACGTGGATTTTTCTCTGGGTCCTCCAGTCTTTCCCTCCCCATTTAGAATCAACATCACGCATTTAAAGTATTTGGCTGCTAAAAATTGACACTTGATAAGCCACTTCGTTGAGCTATCATGTGTGATAGCCAGGTTGCTTCTGAAAAAGAGCTGTATAGCTCAGTGAGCCTTACCTGGTAAAATAAAACTGCAGTGCACTCGATTATCCGCGTCTATGATGGGGAGGATTGCCGCGGATTATTCTAATTCGCGGATAATCCAAAAATAAAATTTTTCCGCGGATCTCTATGCCAGAAACCACTAATATAGTATACTTAAGAAAATACTCTTTCGATTTAGAACAAATACTAATGATCGACCGATCGATGTGCGTGCTCAGTGATAATAACACGTTCCTGCACAGCAGACTCGGCCCACTAAGTGGATGACAGCAGAGCCACGCCAATCAACGTCAATTAAACTCCGTCACCCACTATTGTACATATGGCAACTATAGTACTGCAGAGGCGATCGCGTGGATTTTGGATCAACCTGAAGCAACATTTGTTCAGTTTAAGCACGTGCCTTGTAATAAACATTTCCAAGAATAACAATGTATAACTGTTATTAATTTGAGCTTCAGGAAAAATCCACGAGTTATTCATTTATGTCGAAATCTCAGGTGCGCAGTTAAACCGCAAATCAGATAAACCGCACGCGGATAATCATCAACCGTAATCGTAAATAGTATAGAATGACGCCGTGGTACCTTTACCGTTCCACTGTAACGCAGGCGGCGCGTTGCGTTTTATGGTGAATACAGCTGCAGTATTACTACGACTGCTCCGACTTATTTTATATTAACCAGGGCAGCCTGCCGGATTCGAAAACGCGGACTTCTGCTAGGAGCGGGAAAACGCGCTACGGCTGGGCCGGATAGCCGCTCGTCGCACACGCGCATTCGAAGGGCGCCTCCAAAGCATCGGAATCCTCGAGCTCCTCCTCCTCCACCACGCGCACCCACAGACCTTGACTTGGATCTCCCCACGTGGCTCCATGATGTACGCCTCGTCCCTGGACAGCTCTGCGTAGGTCGCCGAGCTGATGTGGATTTTCTGTGCTGAACAGGATTGTGGGGGAGAGAAACCAGAGCGTCGTCTCGCGTGGCGGTCAGGTCCCGGCGCTCACCGATTCGCTCCGCTCACTCCGTTAGTTCGCTGGCGGCGGCCGCTTGACTTCATTCATTGAGGACTCAGCCTCGACCACACACCGATTGTTTCATCTCTTCCACCACACTGCAGCTCACGAAAACTCACCCACTCGCTCATCCACTTACTCGCCCACTCATGCACTTACCCATCCACCGACTCTCCCACTCAACCCACCCGCTCATGCACATACCCACTCACTCCCATTCACTCACGCACTCACCCACTCACTCATGCACTCACCCACGCACTCACTCACCCACTCACGCACTCACTCATGCACTCACCCACGCATTCACTCACCCATTCATTCACGCACTCACCACCCACTTACTCCCTCACTCATGCACCCACTCACTTTGACCCACGCACTCACCACACTGGAGGTCACTTCACTTCTCTTTTACTGGACATCTCTAGAAAAAAGAGCTTCATAGCTCAGCGGCTTCCTCCTCCAGTCTAAATAAAGATTCCAGTACCGATTATTTATGTTATTCTTCCCTCGCACTGCTCTACTTTGTACTTCTGTCCCATTTGCCTCTGCAACTCAACCTTGCTCAATGCAAGGGACGTGTTAACTCTCATCGTCTACCACGACTTCGAGAACGCTGTTCGTTGCCGCGGGTGGCGTGCGACGTTTTGGGCCATTTCATTTGGGCCAGCGCCCAGCTACCAACAACTGTGGAACAATGAAGAGGAAAGAAGACGTTGTTAAACCCAGAGCTCGCCACCGGCGATTGTAATGATTGTTATAATGGCGATGGTGATTATTATAATGGCGATGATAATTATTGTTATAATGGCGATGGTAATGATTGTTATAATGGCGATGGTAATGATTGTTATAATGGCGATGGTGATTATTGTTATAATGGCGATGGTAATGATTGTTATAATGGCGATGGTGATTATTGTTATAATGACGATGATGATTGTTATAATGGAGATGGTAATGATTGTTATAATGGCGATGGTGATGATTGTTATAATGGTGATGGTGATTATTGTTATAATGACGATGGTAATGGTTGTTATAATGGTGATGGTAATGATTGTTATAATGGCGATGGTAATGATTGTTATAATGGTGATGGTGATTATTGTTATAATGGCGATGGTAATGATTGTTATAATGGCGATGGTGATTATTGTTATAATGACGATGGTAATGATTGTTATAATGGTGATGGTGATTATTGTTATAATGACGATGGTAATGATTGTTATAATGGTGATGGTAATGATTGTTATAATGGCGATGGTAATGATTGTTATAATGGTGATGGTGATTATTGTTATAATGGCGATGGTAATGATTGTTATAATGGTGATGGTAATGATTGTTATAATGACGATGGTAATGATTGTTATAATGGCGATGATAATTAATGTTATAATGGCGATGGTAATGATTGTTATAATGACGATGGTAATGATTGTTATAATGGCGATGATAATTAATGTTATAATGGCGATGGTAATGATTGTTATAATGGTGATGGTAATGATTGTTATAATGGTGATGGTAATGATTGTTATAATGACAATGGTAATGATTGTTATGATGGTGATGGTAATTATTGTTATAATGACGATGGTGATGATTGTTATAATGGCGATGGTAATTAATGTTATAATGGCGATGGTAATGATTGTTATAATGGTGATGGTGATGATTGTTATAATGGCGATGGTAATGATTGTTATAATGGCGATGATAATATTATAATGGCGATGGTAATGATTGTTATAATGGCGATGGTAATGATTGTTATAATGGCGATGGTAATTATTGTTATAATGGTGATGGTAATGATTGTTATGATGGTGATTGTAATGTTATAATGGCGATGGTAATGATTGTTATAATGGTGATGGTAATGATTGTTATAATGGCGATGTTAATGATTGTTATAATGGCGATGGTAATATTATAATGGCGATGGTAATGATTGTTATAATGGCGATGGTAATGATTGATATAATGGTGATGGTAATGATTGTTATAATGGTGATGGTAATGATTGTTATAATGGCAATGGTAATATTATAATGGCGATGGTAATGATTGTTATGATGGTGATTGTTATAATGGTGATGGTAATGATTGTTATAATGGCGATGGTAATGATTGTTATAATGGCGATGTTAATTATTGTTATAATGGTGATGGTAATGATTGTTATGATGGTGATGGTAATGTTATAATGGCGATGGTAATGATTGTTATAATGGCGATGGTAATGATTGTTATAATGGTGATGGTAATGATTGTTATAATGGTGATGGTAATGATTGTTATAATGGCGATGGTAATATTATAATGGCGATGGTAATGATTGTTATAATGGTGATGGTGATTATTGTTATAATGGTGATGGCAATAATTGTTATAATGGTGATGGTAATGATTGTTATAATGGCGATGGTAATGTTTGTTATAATGGCGATGGTAATGATTGTTATAATGGCGATGGTGATTATTGTTATAATGGCGATGGTAATGTTTGTTATAATGGCGATGGTAATGATTGTTATAATGGCGATGGTAATGATTGTTATAATGGCGATGTTAATGATTGTTATAATGGCGATGGTAATATTATAATGGCGATGGTAATGATTGTTATAATGGCGATGGTAATGATTGTTATAATGGTGATGGTAATGATTGTTATAATGGTGATGGTAATGATTGTTATAATGGCGATGGTAATATTATAATGGCGATGGTAATGATTGTTATGATGGTGATTGTTATAATGGCGATGGTAATGATTGTTATAATGGCGATGGTAATGATTGTTATAATGGCGATGGTAATTATTGTTATAATGGTGATGGTAATGATTGTTATGATGGTGATGGTAATGTTATAATGGCGATGGTAATGATTGTTATAATGGCGATGGTAATGATTGTTATAATGGTGATGGTAATGATTGTTATAATGGTGATGGTAATGATTGTTATAATGGCGATGGTAATATTATAATGGCGATGGTAATGATTGTTATAATGGTGATGGTGATTATTGTTATAATGGTGATGGCAATGATTGTTATAATGGTGATGGTAATGATTGTTATAATGGCGATGGTAATGTTTGTTATAATGGCGATGGTAATGATTGATATAATGGTGATGGTAATGATTGTTATAATGGTGATGGTAATTAATGTTATAATGGCGATGGTAATGATTGTTATAATGGCGATGGTAATTATTGTTATAATGGCGATGGTGATGATTGTTATAATGGTGATGGTGATGATTGTTATAATGGTGATGGTGATGATTGTTATAATGGTGATGGTAATGATTGTTATAATGACAATGGTAATGATTGTTATGATGGTGATGGTAATTATTGTTATAATGACGATGGTGATGATTGTTATAATGGCGATGGTAATTAATGTTATAATGGCGATGGTAATGATTGTTATAATGGTGATGGTGATGATTGTTATAATGGCGATGGTAATGATTGTTATAATGGCGATGATAATATTATAATGGCGATGGTAATGATTGTTATAATGGCGATGGTAATGATTGTTATAATGGCGATGGTAATTATTGTTATAATGGTGATGGTAATGATTGTTATGATGGTGATTGTAATGTTATAATGGCGATGGTAATGATTGTTATAATGGTGATGGTAATGATTGTTATAATGGCGATGTTAATGATTGTTATAATGGCGATGGTAATATTATAATGGCGATGGTAATGATTGTTATAATGGCGATGGTAATGATTGATATAATGGTGATGGTAATGATTGTTATAATGGTGATGGTAATGATTGTTATAATGGCAATGGTAATATTATAATGGCGATGGTAATGATTGTTATGATGGTGATTGTTATAATGGTGATGGTAATGATTGTTATAATGGCGATGGTAATGATTGTTATAATGGCGATGTTAATTATTGTTATAATGGTGATGGTAATGATTGTTATGATGGTGATGGTAATGTTATAATGGCGATGGTAATGATTGTTATAATGGCGATGGTAATGATTGTTATAATGGTGATGGTAATGATTGTTATAATGGTGATGGTAATGATTGTTATAATGGCGATGGTAATATTATAATGGCGATGGTAATGATTGTTATAATGGTGATGGTGATTATTGTTATAATGGTGATGGCAATAATTGTTATAATGGTGATGGTAATGATTGTTATAATGGCGATGGTAATGTTTGTTATAATGGCGATGGTAATGATTGTTATAATGGCGATGGTGATTATTGTTATAATGGCGATGGTAATGTTTGTTATAATGGCGATGGTAATGATTGTTATAATGGCGATGGTAATGATTGTTATAATGGCGATGTTAATGATTGTTATAATGGCGATGGTAATATTATAATGGCGATGGTAATGATTGTTATAATGGCGATGGTAATGATTGTTATAATGGTGATGGTAATGATTGTTATAATGGTGATGGTAATGATTGTTATAATGGCGATGGTAATATTATAATGGCGATGGTAATGATTGTTATGATGGTGATTGTTATAATGGCGATGGTAATGATTGTTATAATGGCGATGGTAATGATTGTTATAATGGCGATGGTAATTATTGTTATAATGGTGATGGTAATGATTGTTATGATGGTGATGGTAATGTTATAATGGCGATGGTAATGATTGTTATAATGGCGATGGTAATGATTGTTATAATGGTGATGGTAATGATTGTTATAATGGTGATGGTAATGATTGTTATAATGGCGATGGTAATATTATAATGGCGATGGTAATGATTGTTATAATGGTGATGGTGATTATTGTTATAATGGTGATGGCAATGATTGTTATAATGGTGATGGTAATGATTGTTATAATGGCGATGGTAATGTTTGTTATAATGGCGAT